TTTAAGATCATTTTAGTGAAAGTTTCATGTTCCTATCTCATAGAATTTAAGAACAATGATGAATAAATAATTTTCGAGCAAAATTTAAATGGCCGGCTGAATATATTACCGCAGGAGCCGCGGCCGCGGAATTTAAATGACCACGTCAAAGGGTTAAGGTATATGAAAATTTTAATCCCTACTTTCTTTAAACTCAGAACAATAGAACATCTGAAACTATTTTTGTCAGTCTTAAAATTTGCATCTCAAAGATGAAAATGCCAAAACCAAATGTTTTAAAATACACCCTTGTTAAAATCGAGATTGGTGTACATAAATCCCAAAATATAAGACATGTCCGAAAACTCTGATAACCACCTACTAGACTATACAGTGGAATAATTCAAAAGACCAAATTTAGATAATTTAACTTATTAAGATGAGAATATGTCCTATAAATTCATATGGCACTTGAAAATATGTTCATACTGGTATAGCAAATAAAGGCATGTAACTTTATCAAGATATCATAAATGTCAACAAATTATTCTTTACTAATAAGATGTTTCTTGTAAGATTTGAGGCTATCACGGTGGTCGGTTAACACCACATATACATGGTGCCAAATCCTAGAAGACTGCTTTCTTCAAGATGTTTCTTACTTATACATTTTCATGAAACCATACATAAGAGAACTACAACACATCCACTGAAGTATTTTGACAGTTTACACATTACAATTTCTCACATGACTACTTTCTGATATCATGTCCCTTCCAAGATAACATTACCTTTTGTATGTATGTGAGTAAGAGGTGTAACAACACCAGATGTAATGTGTCTGGTAAATTCAGCACGATCTTTGGGATGAACAAAATCAATAAAGGATCGCCCAAGCCACATGTCCTTTGGAAATCCCACAACATCAGAAATGCTGGGCGTAGTGAATATCACTGTGCCATCTTCCATTGATACCACCACGCAGAATTCACCCTGAAACAGAAGATACAGCAACCAGGGCAGAGCGTCATGTCTGGGGCTCCACGCCCCAAACATGTCACAACAAGATTCTGAAAACTTTACTCAATGTGCATAATGAAAACATCAGGGTAAAATCATAATGCTACGAAAAGCATGAGAAATTTTAATTAAAATATTATGTGTGAACTTATTCAAAATTTTCAAGTGACAAAGTCAGCAAAACAAACATTAACTTATGATTCCCAATACATACAACAGCATGCATTTTTTGTGGCACTGAACATCCAGCTCACTGATGGTGGAGTTGTATAGATTAAGAGTGTAATCAAACATTCACAACAATGTCACTGCAAATCATCTTAACCCCTATGCCCAAATTTCTTCCACAAACTTAATATAAATGATAAATGTTAAATAAAGAATCTTAGCAACAGAGGGTCCTATCTTCTAATTAGTTTTAATTTCTTCAAAACCTAAATTACACAAAACCGTAACACAAAGAACTCACAAATGTCATATTCAGTAGTGGTCTCTACAGCTTTCATGTACAATGAGCTTCCAAAAATACAATTATATCAAAATCATTAAAAGATGGCCCATTCTTTCAAAATAGATTTTCCCTTCAATCTGTAACCTCACCCTATTCTCACTTTTACAAGTCTGTAGTCTCAAAATGGATTTTTAAAACGTACACAATGGCCCAAAGTTGCAATGGATCCATCGCTAACATTCTTATCATGTTAAGTTTTTATATAGGATTAATGTATAAAAATACTGAAATACTTGTCTAAAATTAGTAATGTTTTATTTAAATTATTGCTATTTTTCTAAAAATTATGCTATTATGCTCATAGTGGGTTTTGTCTGTGGAATGGTGAGTATATACACACACTGTGAACGTCTGTCCTTTATGGGGATGTGGTTGTAATACGAGTGTGTGCTGTTGGTGCTAATGGTCGCACGTGTCTTTTGGGGGGAGGGGGTGAAATGAAGTATTTAAAATTTTTCATCTTTTAGTAAAAATGTTGATGTTATGTGAGTATACGTTGTTGGTTCTGATGGCCTTGTGTGGTCCTGTTTTTGGTGGATTTGTCCTTTTTAACACTATGTTGTAAGTTCCTGGTTGTGTTCTTATTCACTGTTCTAAGCTTTTGAAAACTGGAGTTTTGCTCATGGTGCTGTTTCCTGGTTTTCTGTTGAGATGTAGTTTCGTTGCTTCTACTAACATGGTGTTGTACCTGACTGTGCTGCTGAGAATGGACTGCTAAGGCTTTGCATATTGGAGTTTTGTTTATGGTGCTGTTTCCTGTTTGTTTGTTTGTTTTTTTTTATTGATACAGAGGAAAATCATAATAAATATTCAAATGCCTGGTGATTTAAACTGATTTTTAATAAAGGTTCCGCTTTATAACATTCTATACCTGATAAACATGAAATACCTCGGCATTCCTCACTAGTTTACCCTGGTTTTCGAACATTTCATTCTTGTTTCCAGCCACAATTTACTTGGGGACATAGATATTATACTGGTAACAAGAATAACCTAGTAACAACATTACACTCATATTAGCAAACAATATTCAGAAAATGTTCAGAATCCTCTGGGATGCTAATGCACACAAATATCTATGGGACATAACATTTGGGCCAGTCTGTATTTTTTATTTCTCATCTGGTATGATGGGGTTCTAAATCTCCCAGTATCATAAAGTGTTTAGATTTATTATAACTTGAGGGGAAGCAGTTTACTGTCTGGAAATATGGGATTTTTAAATTTCCAATATTACAAGGAGGTAGAGGTAGTGGGGGTAATCATATTAGTACTGAAACAAATGCAAAGCTTAGACAGCTGGCATGTGCCCATGCATCATTGCAATAAGCAAGAACAATCACTTAAGGATCAGTTAAATTGATAAATCTCATAAGTACCGTTTCAAAACTTAACCATATAACTGCCACATAGTGATTATTAGCAATAAAGAAACAGTTATTAATAATCAGTTGATGATAATAAGAAGTTTAATTATGGTGATGTTATGAGAAATGAATATGATTCAGGTTAATAAGCATTTTTCTATCATCCTCCTCCCCCACCACACATACACATACACACACACAAGAAATGCCAGTGGCGCAACATCAGTTCAAGTCTAGACGAACCATATTCTTGATAAATTTAAATGTTATCCACCAACTCCAGAACACGAGTAGATCTTGGTAGAATAAAAAAGCCAGGAGAAACTGAACTTCATCAGGGCAGTCATACTATTTAAAGACAGATCATTGAAGTAATATTTCCTATGAGAGAGTGAATTGTAAGTAATCATGAAGATGCTAGGATAAGCAACACTGTTGTTCTGGTATGAAAATTTTGCTCTCATTGAGAATCAATACAAACCTCTATCCAAAACACAATTTTCCTTTGAAATTATAAATCTGAAAGCTGAATCTGTCCTCAGTAATACTTCATGACAGAATTCTGGTTCAAAAGAGGAGAAATCATAATTTTCAACAATTTATAATAATGTATACTTTTCTTCATCAAAAAACAGTGAGGGCTGAAAAAGTTTGTCAATTATATTTCTTCTGTTTCTGAATTATATTCCATATTGATAGGACATCACTTTTGGCCCCAACATCCTTTCTCAGGGCTGATAAGGTCAGAACACCAATACAAGATTACCTGAGTTTTGTAATCCTGTCCTCTATGCCACAATATACCTGCATGAAACTGTGTTTCCATGGATGCTGCATCCATCATGAAAATCCAAATTTAAATTCTGATTTACAATTACCATGCTCCTTATACATTAAATGAGAATTTATATTGTCCTTTCATATCTTTATCTTTTATTTTAATCTGGGGTTCTGTAAGTAGTTTTTCAGACCAAATGACTCCCTACACAATAAAATAAATACTGCTTTATGAATTGATTTTCTTTCTCTAATGAAGCACTTCTTCAGTTTACAAGAAGCATTTCAGTTTCTTGGTGTTTTATTAGCTATCCCATTCACACACTAACAACATCAACACATCTCCTGGCTGTCAATATATCTTTGTCTCTAAATTATATGTTTGTTAAACTTAGATTGAAGTATTACTGGTCTTATTATAATCTTCAGAAAGTCACAAAAAGAGAGGTTAAGCAAAAAAAAATAGCTTATCTGAGGGATGAGGATGTATGTTATTAAATTTGTAACTTTCTTTCATAGTAAACGTTATATACCATGATTCAACTCAAAGCTACTGAACATGTGACCCCATAGCTGAGTACCACTCACTGACCTTCAGACAAGTATTACATCATTCTGGTATGAAAGTGAAAGTAATTAACTGTTAACATCACAAAAATTATCTTAATGGGCTTTACAGAAATTATATAAAGAATCTTAGTCACTGTAACTACAAGCACACATTTTTGGCCATCTGTTTAAACACACACATTAATAATGTGTTCTGTATGCATATTTCAAAGAACTCCATTCACACCACACAATAAAGTGATATATGACAATCCAATTAATAATTACAGTACTGCAAGTAGCAACATTTTAGAAACATTAAAGGCTCTGTCAGAATTAAAAAAATTACACACAGCTTGATGTTGCAATTAAAATGTTATATATCTGATGGTACATAACTATAATTCTTAAATTAAATATCTGAGTGTCAGTGAGCAGTATTTTGATACCCTTTGTTTCAAATTGAAATTTAAATGAGATCTTGAACTTTCTCCCCTCGGGAAATGGTAGAGCCTATAGATGATAAAAAGAAAAATAAATGAAGAATTATAATGCATATTTCAACCATAAAAGTCAAGAAAACATCTCATAAAAGAAAAGGTATTATTATAATAAAATATACAGCATATCTGCATGTGTACAATTACTGTGTATATTACGTCCTACCAATTCTGTTCCTTGCAACTCACAGCCTAAGTTACCTCTGTGAACTTGATGGCTGGTCACCCTTTAGTTCCGGTGCACCTCCCTCCAACCTGAAGAACCCAGTAGCCTCAAGATTGAAAGGTTGTGTTGAATCAGTGCAATAAAGTTTCAAAGAACTCTCTGTTACAATCCAATAAGAAAAGAATTTGTGTAGCAACAAAATTCTTCATACTCCTGAAACCCTGTGTTGGTCAATGAAATCAGGAATGAAGCTGACCCAGACAGCATCTGTACCTTGTAGTTACATACGAGGGCTATTCGGAAGTATCATCCATTTATTTTAGGCAACTAACGTAACACTGGGCGGAGCTCACACATGCAAGGTAGTGTCACTTCAATCACTGCTTTGGAAACCATCACATAACTGGTTACCTAGCATTTGTTCTTGTATCTCCAGAGTGAATTATGAAGTGTCCTAGGATTTGTCAGTTTGCCACCTGCCTAATTTGCACTGTTATCCACTTTCCTCATACTAAAAATATGAGTCCTGTGGGAGTTCACAGTGAATTATATGTGGCTTATGGCCAAAATGTAATGAGTGAAGAAACTGTAAGATAACTGCATACAGTTTTCAAATATAGGCAAACAAATGTTCACAACAAAGAGCAAAGTGGTCGGCCATTTGTAGTCAGTGAGTGATCTTGTTCAAACTGTTGATCAAAAAATTGTGAAGGATAGTGCTTCACAATTTCAGAATTTTCATGTTTATTTCCATGAATTTCATGCTGTTGTCTATAAGATTATCACAGTTAGGCTAGGCTATTGTAAGTTTTATGCAAGATGGTTTCTGAAAATGCTCATGCACCAAAAAGAGAGAATGACCTCAGCTTTGACGTTTTTACAGCAATACCGGAACATGGCAATGAGTTTCTCAACCATACTGTACAAGTAACAGGTGGTGAAACCTGGGTTATATTTGTGAATGCTGAAACCAAAGAGCAGACAAAGCAGTGTATGTACACACATTCACCAAACAAGCCAAATAAGTTTAAACAGCTGTTTTCTGGGACAGGAAATGAGTACTGATGATGGAATTCATGCAATAAGAGACCACAGTAACATCCAAAGTGTATTGCGAAACACTAGAAAAACTGTGTAGTGCCATTAACAACAAACAGCATGAAATGCTGACATCTTGTGTATTGCTTCTCCATGACAATGTGCATCCACATACAGCTGCTCGCACTGTAGCAATGCTGGGGCATTTCAACTGCGAGTTATGTGACCACCCTCCTTACAGCCCTGATCTTGCTCTGAATGGCTACCGCCTGTTTACCTATTTGAGGAACTGTTTGGGATCACAGTGCTTCAACTACGAGGAGATGATGATGGAAGGTGTCAAAACGTGACTCAGTTCATAGGCGGCAGAATTCTCTGACACAGGTATACAAAAACTTATTCTCCGTGTATATATTCTTTGTATATAATACAATTTTTTCCTCACTGCTTGGTTTGTTAACAGCACACTGGAAGTCACTTTCTGAATAGCCCTCATATATTAACCTATTTCAAAATACGCTAATTGTAATTTCATAAACAAGCGATAAAATATTAAAATGTTAATTCTGTAAGTCAGGCCTGCACAAATCTCAGGCACCAGGTTGCCATGGTGACTAAAATTTTTATGATGGTGCTTAGAACTGTATTCCTATTATACTACTACTAAAACAGATGACAGGCAAAATGATTTCTTCCTTCCCTTATTTTAACCCTTTCATACCTTTATCTCCTGCCCTCCTTTCTTTCCTCTTATTTTCCCATCCCCTTTATTTGTTCCTCCTAGCTTGATTTCATTCCAACTTCCTTCCCCTTTTTCCCCTAATCTTCAATTCCTCTATCCTTTTATATATTTTCCTCCTTCCTCCAATATTATTTTCCCATTCCTTTTATTTGTCCAACCTAGTGACGTTTCTCTCCCTCTGGCATAGCAACAGTGTGCTAGGTTTTCCCCAAATGTGAAGGGAACTGGCTCTTATTTATAATGACATTTTAAACGTTCCTTTTGTTAATAAAATCAGCCAATTTCTCACCAAAGGTATTTTGTTCTTTCATTCTGGTTCCCAATTCTGAAGTGGCTCCTCAGTTTACAGGAAATTTGTGTAGGCCTGTGTATGTGAATTTGCTACCGCAAAAATTGCCAACACTGAATTACTAAGAAAAATAATGGACTCAACTGTGAAGTTTACATATAAAATCTTCAATATTTGGGCCAGCTGTGGAGAGACAGCACGTAAAAATTTTGACACTATACTCATACATAGAAGAAGATACTTAGTGCATTTAATCACTCACCGGTTCATAATTTAGCTAAATAATAGTAAAATATAAAACTACACTTTTGAATACAAACTTCATTTGTACTCCTTTCAGCATCTATATTTTCTAGTATTTTCTTGCAGCTAGCTTTGCTTCATTATCAATTATACCTTACTTACAAATTCTCTCAAATTTTTAACTTAGGGCTCAAATTTACACTCAATTGTAAGATTTGAGGCTTTCACGGCGGTGACTATGAAGAAAGCAGTCTTCTGGGATTTTGCACCGTGTATATGTGGTGTTAACCGACGTTTCGGAGGAACGTGTCGCCTCCATCTTCAGGGTAGAAGAAAAAATATATAAGAAATCTGCAAGCAAAGAGACCGTGAGAACCGGTAAAAGCAGACTGCTTTTACCTGAAGATGGAGGCGATACATTCCTCCGAAACGTCGGTTAACACCACATATACACGGTGAAAAATCCCAGAAGACTGCTTTCTTCATTTACACTCAATTACCATAGTTTGAAATCTTTATTAGGAGGGGATACAGACAGTCTACAGCACAGAAAAGGTGGAGCTGCCCTGTTTATATAAACCATCCTATGAACACAAAGCTCCATGCACAGTTTGCCTTAGCACTACAGTGAGGAGTGTGACCAGTTTCACAATCCAGTCACCTTACCCCTGCAGAAAAAGCTCTCTGTATGAACTGGACAGTAGGCTGGACAGTCACCAGAATTAGCTTGGGCATGACTGCAAGAGGAAAACTGAATCCCTACATCCAGCCCTCAACCAGTTTACTCTACTGATTGAACTCTCAGCTATTTACAAAGCACATGCAGACTATTTTATCTCTGTAATATCCTTTGCAAATTTGGGTAATATGTACTATCAATCAATTTGGAACCTTCTGTCATTTATCTTAAACCTAAAAACATGAAGAATAAAATATAAAAAATTATCACTTTACATGCTGTTTTTATGGGTATGATATATGATGTTTCACATTAAGAAAAGAACACCAACTTAAGGGGTATAGACAAGGGTGCAAGGTAGAACATATGGTCCTAAGGGAAAATGAGGAAGGACAAAATTACATAATGAAAACCTTCACAATTTGTACTTGTAACCAAATGCTATATGGGTGTTCAACTCAAGAAAGATAAGATGTATGAGATATTTAGCAAGTACTAAAAAGGTAAAAATGAGAAGAAAATTCTAGTCAGAACACCTGAAGCGAAGAGAACACTTGGAAGATCCAGGCATAAATGCAGAAGAACAGTAAAGAAACAGGGTGTGAGGATGTGACCTGGATTCAACTGCTTAATTTTGGATATAAATTTACCGCTGGGGAACAAAATTTCATAATATATATGCAAGAATACAAGTGTATGTTGCATTCACAGCCACAACTTTGACTGACTGGACAAATGACCAACCAACCATGTGAAGTAATGGAAATATTTTACTGAAAACAGACAAAATATGGTGATATGTCTACAAGGGTCATACACTCAAACTGTTATGGACCTAGTGAAGTTTCTTAACAAATTTAACAGAGATGTTTTGCAGTAAGTCACAGTGTAGGTCTCAAAACACTGAATAATGAGCAGTTACGAGATTTCCCTAATGAATGCTTTATTAGAGTTCATTTCAGCAAGAATTTGTATTAAGGCTGTGTGGGGGAGAGGAGGAAGAAAAGAATCACGCATATAATATTCTGGCAAGAAATCCAGAGAGAAAGAATCACTAGGAAGACCTAGATATAAGTGGAAGACAGTATTAAATTAAAGTGGATCTTAGAAATATATGGGGTGGTATGGACTGCACTAATCTGTCTCAGGAGGTCCGCGCCATAGCTCAAGCGGTTAGTCGCTGGCTTCCCACCACGGCGGCCCAGGTTCGATCCCGGGTCTGGTCAAGTGGGATTTGTGGTGGACAAAGTGGCACTGGGGCAGGTTTTCTCCGAGTACTTCGGTTCCCCTTGTCAATCTTCATTCCACCAGTTGCTCCATAATCACCCTCACCTAACATCTGGGGCTGGTACAAGAGGCCAGAAGTGGCCGCAGTACCAAATGGCCACAGTCCCACCCCACCAAGTAATAAAAAAAATTGTCTCAGGATAGGGACCAGTGGAGGGCTCTTGTAAATGCACTAATGAACCTGCAGGTTTCATAAAATGTTGGGAAATTCTTAAGCAGGTGAGTGAGTGACGGCTTCTCATGGAGGACTCAGCTCCATGGAGTTAGCTAGTTAGTGGAGGAACAGAGGAATTAAATACCCCTAATTCTGGATCCAGCAACAAGTAATACAATTATAACATGGTCAATGTGAATAATAATACTCTCAAGCTTACTCAAAACTTACAGTTACTTTTCTAAAGTGAACTGTACTGTCATATTTGATCCATGATCTGATCACCATATTAATGAAAAGGTATGTGTGAATGCCAAGAAAACTCCTAAAGCCACAATACACAATTTTATAATACACAATTTGGTAAAACAACAGAAACCTACAATTCTAAACTGTGTAACTGTGATATGGATCTATGGAATGCTATGTATGTATGTATGTATGTATAAAAGGTTAAGTTTGTGGATGGAAAATAAATTCCTTTAATAACAAAATTACATTATGGTTAGTCATAGTAGAGTTAAAAGACCATCACCTTCAAGTAGTTAGATATCTTTAGATCTGCTTTGTTAGAGCTGATAGTTTATGCCTTAATCAAAAAAGTTCTGGCTGTAGCATTAAGGGTCCTAATGAGACAGATGGTGCAAATTGGACTCAGTAGTGGTACAAGTGCTGGGGTGATTGGTAACTGTCATTGTTGTCATCACTGTCATCCCCAAGTCAACACAGACTACAGAACAGAATACAAGTAGTTAAATCCTATACAATGTTACAGGGGATCAGATAAGATAAAGGATTATAATCAAAGAAAGTATAGATGAAACAAAAAGTCACGATGATTATACAGTAAGATGCTACTGTACTAGCTATAAAATTAAGATTAATTATAACATTTAATGAATATGTTATTAAACTAATTCCACGATGTGTTACCTCATTGTCTGCAGATGGTTTCACTTCAAAGCCACTAAGAATCTGCTCAGCTCTTTCCTCAGGTACTACAAGATGAGATAAACACTGGTCATCAGTCTCTTCAGCAATTTCTGCAAAAACATTATTATCACTTCACATATGAATATTACATTAGAAACAAAAAGGTAAAGCTGTCCCTGTAACAGGCCATGAAAGTGTGTGAGAGGTCGAGGCTCCCACATCTTCCAGACAATCGGCTCACCAGATGACAGTAAGGCTGACAGCCTTATGCACCCGCCTCCTTTCACCCCCCACCCCCCTTCCTCTGCAAACCTGGTACTCATTTCTGTTAGAGGCTGAGTCGACCCCAGGGCCATAGTGTGGCTGGAAGGATTAGGTAAATTGAAAAACCCAATTACCTCATCAGGATTCAAATCCGCAATCTTCCAGCTTGTAGCAGAGTGCCTCAATCAACTACACTACCACATGCCCCCCTTTCCATCAAATGAGGGTGCAAATATAAGTAAATAGAGAACAGCTTGTTGAAATCAAATAAATATTCTCACATGACAGAGTTGCTGTGGACAGGGTTTGAATTGATATAGGATTTACGAAACACTTAAAGATCGTAACTACAAGTAACTGTAGATCTATCGCTAATTCACACACACTGCAGTTCACTATAGCACACACTAAGCCTTCTCAGACTGCTTTGTCTTCACCAGTTATCTGGTAATGGCTTCCCATGCTGTAGCTTCCTCGGCTTCCGTTCCAATGCGAGGAATGTTAATAACACTATATAGAGAGTGGGGTGAAGAAACTTCCTTTTTTGAAGGTGAATAAAAGAAAAATTATTGCTGATAAACAAAATTTATGTTTACCTAATGAAAGAGCATACTTTAAAGTTTTAATCATGTAGTTTTAAACAAAATATCTTGAAGGTGGTGGCCACCATTCTCTATGCACTGATGCAACCGTTTTCTGAAGTTCCCCTCTGCACGTTCCAACATGTGCACCGGAATTTGGGCTACTTCCTGCCGAATAACATTCTTCAGCTGAAGCAGGTTTGTGGGGTGATGTTTAAAAACCTCTGCCTTGAGGTATCCCCATAAAAGAAAATCACAGGGCGTTGGATCAGGTGAGTGTGCTGCCCACGGGATATCGCCTCAAAGCGAGATGAGCCGTCCGGGGAACTTTACCCTCAAAACTGTCTTCGAAGCTCAGGCTGTGTGGGCCGTGGCACCATCCTGTTGGAACCAGACATTTCCTAGATGCATTTCTTCAAGAGCTGGTTCGAAAAAGATCTCAAAATCGACTGTCAAGCTGCCTCCACATTTTCTGGTGTCATAACAGTCCACTGTCATCCTGATGATTTTTTCACCACACTCCCGGTTGTCCTAAAGTTCTCTACCCACAAAACAATCGATTTCCTGTCAGGAACCAGACCTCTGGGCTTAATTCCGAAGTGAGTATGGAACGCTTGCTGCACCACCATGTAGGAATGGTTGTTCAAAAAATAGACTTCGACAGCAAACACGCTGCTCACTCGTCCACCTCATGTTTCTTACTGAGGGGTATTAGACAGAAACTTCCACGACTGCTGCGTTCGCCGAGCCTATCCCCACTTTTCTGCAACCTCCCCTCCATTCACAATGCATCTTCACAAAAAGGAAGTTTCTGCGCCCCACTCTGTATTAGAGGACTGGGCCATTTTGATAAAACATGCGCCTTCAAAAAAAATCACCCTCATTCATTGTACTACTGAATACATATACACCTAACTCTAGTTGGTTGAGACACTATGCTACAAGCCGGAAGGCCTTGGGTTCAAGTCCCGATGAGGTCATTGGATTTTTTTCAATTGACCTAATCCTTCTGGCCGCACTATGGCCCTGGGGTCCCGGGTATTAATTAAATAATTTTCCTGGGGAGTAAAGCGCAGCCAGCGCGTAAGGCTGACAACCTTACCGCCATCTTTGAGCTGATTGTCTGGATAATGTGGGACCCTCAACGTCTCACAACCGTATGGGCCTTCACAGCCTGTTACAGGGATAGATTTACTTTTTTTTTTTTTTTTGCACACTTTACCCAAATACAGCCCAATGAAGTCAATGGAGAGCTGAAAACTGCACTACAGCAATCTTATATGTTATTGGTTATCCCATTCCAAAAACAGACATTCCTTATGAGAGATGAAAGACTGCTCACTCATTTGTGTCCTACTATTAAACTTACATTCGTGCAGAGGCCATGCCATATCTCAGACGGTTAGTCGCTGGCTTCACACTGCAGTGGCCCAGGTTTGATCCCAGGTCAATTCATGCGGGATTTATAGAGAACAAGGCCATGCCATAGCTCAAGCAGTTAGTCGCTGGCTTCCCACCACGGCAGCCCGGGTTCGATCCCGTGTCTGGTCAAATGGGATTTGTGGTGGACAAAGTGGTGTTGGGGCAGGTTTTCTCCGAGTACTTCGGTTTCCCTTGCCAATCTTCATTCCACCAACTGCTCCACAATCACCCTCACCTATCATTTGGGACTGGTACAACAGGCCAGAAGTGGCTCTAGTACAAGGCACTTAGTTCCACCCCACTAGCAATAAAAAGAAATAGTGAACGAAGTGGTACTGGGGCAAGTTTCCTCCGAGTATTTCGGTTTCCCCTGCCAATTCTCAATCCACCAAATGGACTCAGTCTCACCCACCCCATAAAACTAAACTAAATCTATGTCCATGCAATGCTCAACAATTCATTGTTATGCACTGTGGAGCTATACACATTCCAGCATATGTCTTTATGGTGTAGCGCTTAATTACTTATGAACAGGACAACTAATATAGACTGTATATAAAAATATGCATGACAATGAACTATATAGAGACAGGTTATGAAACAATTAAGCCTAAAGTAAAGAGTATAGAATACAGAAAAAATCAAAAGTCAGAGTATTGGATATTGCATCATCACACTTCAAAACCATGAATGAATTCTACATGAGAAAATTCTTCATAAGTAAAAGAAAATACAACCTAGAAAAATCGGCAGATATTATAAGTGCAATTTGAAGTACAAATATATAACATAAAATAACGACTACAACATTTATTACTGTCATACTTAAACTTCAAGATTTTGCACAGCCAATAATAAACCAATGCCCGAAGAATTTTGGTGAAGATGTATGAAAATATCTGAATACCCTATACTCCTCACCTGCATGAACATCCTTAGACTTTTTAACTTTATTCGCGCAAGTGAGTGAAGCCATTTGAAAGGCTTCGTTCTTTGGGTCCGGTGTGGTGGCAGGCGTAACACCAGCAGCTCCAAGTGGAACCCCAGTGTGGCTGCTAACAGAACTTCCTTTGCTGCAAGCCTCTGGGATTTCTGTCTCCTCAGGAGCAGTGCCTGGGAGAGGAACAGCAACCCCAGCCACAACCAGAGAGACAGGGCTAGCCACATTTTCATGTTCTGCTATGGGTGTTTCTGCAGTAGTGACTGCTGTAGAAGACTTTAATTTCTTCTTCTTGTGCTCCTTCTCTTTGGTGCGTTTTGTAACAAGAGGCAGAGGAAATGCCTCACTACTGAAAAAGTAAAAGGTGTATAACTAGAACAGCTCAGTGGTTAAAAAATATATACATATATTTTAATTGCTACATAGTTCAAAGTCTTAGCGGCCTCCGTAGTCTAGAGGTAACGTTCCCACCTCATGACTCGTAGTACGCGGGTTCAAATACCCGGCGGAGGTCGTCGAATTTTTAAGGGCGGAAAAATTCAGGGAACAAGTCCTCCGGGAGGGACTTTAAGCCGTGGGTCCCGTGTCGTAACTTTAAGGCACATAAAAGAACCTCATATCACCAAAGGGGATCACTGAGCCAAATTCCAGGACGTTTCCCGCCCAACAATAGTCTCTAAAGCCTCTGAGAGATGGGGGAAGCAATATAGATACCGCTAAGCAAGTGGCCGAACTCACTTGCTCGGCGGGACTGATGGTACGCACCATTTATCTGTAGGGTTTAGAGACTGGTAGAATATCATAGAGGGAAGCACAATAGATCAAACTGGTTGCGGTGCTTGGGGAAACCCACACTCTCTAAATAAGTAACTAACTAGTTCAAAGTCTTTGTGTTTTACAATTTAAATGCCCCTAACAGATTATGACTTTCTGCGCCTTATTTTATTAAAAGAGCAATACTACAACTACAGGGAGGTTGAAGAGTTCTACCTTCTTCGATATAACTCTTCTTAACCACTGCTGTGAGATTACTTGATTACAGGGAGATTACTTGATGGCTGTGCGATGCACAATTTTCCTGCATTTCTTGCAACCTCCCTACTCAATCAGCTGTAGCAGTATACTGCGTTTGTGTTGCCCTGTGTAGATAGTGGGCTTGTGATGGGCTAATCCCCCATCCAAGGAGCCATTCAAAATGTCTTTAAGACAAATAATTTTAAATTAATTCTGAACAGGAATGGGGTAGACTACCTCATCCATCAAAGGAGGAGGAGGAGGAGGAACATGAAGCCAATTATTTATCTCAAAGCATAAAAAATACAGTTGCCTCCTGATATTCAGTCATGGATTATCCTGTCTTCATGTTATGCATGTGTCCATATGTGACTTTTTTCATTTGTTCTCTACATGTACACATATCTACAAACATGGATATGTATAAATTAGGCTTCTACTTTCCTGGAATAACCATGGTGGGGGTTGGGCAGGGAAAAGGAGAATCACTGAACTGTAATATTGAAAATGAGGGAAGTGCACAACACAGATAAAACTGCTCATCCCAAGCAGTTCCCACACAAGGCGCCAGTCAGTATAGGTTTATCACCATCACCCTCCTTTTCTGCCCGGCACAGGCAAAAGATCTGAGAGTGGCCAATGCTCCTGCATCTCCAGTTCTTACACTGTGTGCAGTCTCTTCTTTTGTTTTGGAGGGGGCTGACCCTTCCACGATGGTCAGTCCCTCATTTTATGTAGTCTTATGGAAGTTCAAACCATTTGCTTCACAATCTCTAGCTCTATAGTCTTCCTGAACATGCAGTCAAATGTCCTCTCCTTCCTCGGTTGTAGTTGCTGCTTTAAATCTCCATCTCTTATTCCACTGATGACTTCTGGCTTTGACCGCCATCTCTTCCCGAACGTCCGTACTTTCTAGGTTCTTGGTACAGCCTTATCCTTGTGTTGTCCCTTATACCATGCAGGAATGTTACAGTGGGTCATCCAATGGCTAACTTCTTCCGGGACCCACCATCGCCCTGGGTCCGTTTCTTTGACTTCTGGCGGTGCCCTACGGCTAGATGCCAGTCTCCATGCTGATTCATCAGTGCTCCAAAATTATTCACTGCGATCTCTTCTTAGGGACTTCCTCATGCACTGCTACAGACTTTATGTCATCTGAACTGGCCTCCATTTTTTCTGCATAGGTCTCCATTGCTTCTCTGTCGATCTTCATCTCTGCCACTTCATTTCTGCCATTATCTTCTCGTGGTGATGCCACCTTTTCCTGCATGACAGCTACCCTGGCCAGCAGGTGTTCCATCATCTCTTCCATCATTTGTTCCATTTTTGTAGGCTATAATAATACAACTATCTACTGCAGTCTTCAGTCCAACAATTCCATCTGATCCCACTTCTGACACCAGCCATCATGTAGTATGGCCTGATTATAAATAGGGTTTTGGATAACTGAATTTATTGGCCATTTACGTTCTGTAACTAAAAATAACTATAACATTATCGATGACTACCACACTTTACAAATCATGCTAAGCCTTTTCCAGCCCACAGTGTCTTCACTACCAGCTGCCTGGTAACGGCTTATCACAAAGGGTATTCCTCTGCTTCCGGGCGCAAGTCCTCTCTGAACACTGGCTCCCTTCCAACTTCTCTTGCTTCAACTGTTCTCCTTATACCATCTTTGCACGGACATAGTAGAAACACCGTTTCCAACAGTACCTGTATGGCTGCATGCTCATCCATTGCTGCAAGAATGTGTTTACTGAGTCATTGCCTAGAAAAGAATGTTGTTTCAGACATGTTCGCTAGCAACCGCTGTTTCACTGGCTTCACAGTTCTTGCTTTAAGCAAATATGCCACAATACAAAGATCTTGATGTTGTGCTTCTACAGTGGTTCAATCAGAAACAAAGAGAAGGAGCCTCCATCTCTGAGACCATATGTGTAAGGAAAGCCAAGCACTTTCTTGATGCATGTGGACTGAGAGTTTAGTTCAAGGCCTCATCTAGGTGGCTGATTAGATTTAAGCAGTGCTATGGTTCATGATACTGCTGTGCAGGGATAACTCATTAGTGTCAATGCTGCTGCAGCCAATTCCTTTCACATATAATTTTCTTCCTAAGAGAATGCTTTTGAATGATAAAAGTGTGAATCTTGGCTCAGTCACCTAAAGAACATCTTATGGCTGAATGTTGTGAAAATGCATCTGGAAATCACAAATTGAAACTTACAGTGTCTTGTAAAGCCAAAAAAACATGAATGTTTAATGGTATGAAAGCAAATTCTTCCTGTTCATGAGAATGGCTTTCCTACTTATTATTATAGCCAGAAAGGAGATATTTCTTTTTAAATTCATTCCATAAGAAGGTCATTCCAACAGTATGGTATTTCCTGAAAGAGAAGTGTTCCTGTCAGGCAGTGCACTCTCTCCTCCCAGTTATCTTCAGACAATAGTCTTATCAGTATAACTTTTTATTCCGAAATGTCACGGGCATAATACAACTTAGGGACTAAGGTGTGACTGCATCAATGAAATATCACTGCTGGGCTAGTCCTGTCAAAATTCCTGTTGAGATGAGATTTGTACAACAATGTGGAAAAGAAATGACACTACTAGACACCATGTCTGTTGTGTCTCAGGGCATTTTTCAGTAAAATTACTAAGGTTTCTTTTATCATGGAAGCAACTTCAACCATGGGAGTTCTGTCTTCTGAGATATAATGCCATGTAGTCCACTGAAAGTCAACGGACATTTTAGAGGAACATGTCACCTCCATCTTTAGAAGATGGAGGCGATATATATTCTTCCGTCATATCCCAGAAGATAGAATTCCTCATAACCACTGCTGTAAGCACTTCAAATCCTATAAACTTCATCCAGATTACAAAGGAAATGATTCTGATGGTTTCTCCAATAAATAAGCAAGAGTTTGAAGATGTTGGAAAGGAAGGCTTTAAAAATGGCTGCAACCTGACATATGAACCAGGCTTCCAGACCATGACTGATGTAGACATTATTAGTGCTTCTATATAAGAAAGGGATGATCACAGCTGAGTCATAGCTCAAGCGGTTAGTCGCTGGTTTCCCACCGCGGTGGGCCAGGTTCGATCCCGGGTCTGGTGAAGTGGGATTTGTGGTGGACAAAGTGGTGCTGGGGCAGGTTTTCTCCGAGTACTTCGGTTTCCCCTGCCAATCTTCATTCCACCAATTGCTCCACAATCACCCTCACCTATAATCTGGGGCTGGTACAATAGGCCCGAAGTGGCAGCAATAAAAGAAAAGGAACGATCAGGGAGAGAATAGGGAGGGTGAGAATGAAGAAGGTGGAAATAGTGAGCTTGTTAATCATAGCATGGCACTACACTGTGGTGACACCTTGGTGGACTGGAAGTCAATTGGGTTTCAATACAGTGATATTACAGTCAAGAAATTCAAACTGTTCTGAGGAGAAGCCTAAAATTCAAAACAAATAAACATTATGGAGCATCTGTCAAAAAAAAAAAAGTAGCCTGTATAAACCTGGTATGTGAAAAGTAACTAAGTAATCTGTGATGTGGTGTAAAAATACAGAATAAAATATCTTCAGTTATTCTCGGTTTTCAGTTATTCATGCACCCTACTCCCTTCATCAGCCCAAGTAATCAGGAAATTACTATATAATTAAAAAGAACAGATTACATTACTTACCCACTGCCTTGTGCAGAGGATGCATGACCACCATAGCCACTACTGCCACTTGATATGCTGTGTCGAGACTTGGAACTCCTACTGCTGGATAGAAAACAACATTACATCTGTTATTACCAAAAACAAATAGAAACCAGGCATTAAAAACATGATTATCCTTAACAATTCACAGTTAAACTTTTCATATTATTAATACAAAGAACGAACTAAAGTCAAATAAAACAAATGACAAAACGAGTTTGATCAAATTCATTCATAAATATAATATTTGCTTGGTAGACTTAAGTTTTCACATCAATATTTATACTTCCATTCTACATTTCTTCTACAAAGACAGCATAATCATTTTGCTTAGTATCTTCCTGGGTATAAATGGCTCATTTCTGCTTTATATTTAAGGATTATTATTACAATCAGTTAACTTCATGTCTTAATATCATTAAGTATATAATATGAGATCTATTGCCTACTTTTTGCTACAATGCAAAAATTTGTTCTGACCACTGACACATATCATTTGGATTCACAATATAGGAAGTAATTAATAGCAACATGGATAAAAATACATAATGAAAAGCTTCATAATTTGTGCTATTCACCACATATTATTAGGGTGCTAATATCAGATGAGATAGGTAGGATACAGGGTACGTATGGGAGAGAGAAGAAATTCATACAGAAGAAAAGGATCAGTTCAAATTAAGTGAATAATAAAGAAATTGGGGTGTGGACAGGATTCATCTGATTCAGAATGAAGTCTAGGTAGGAACACTAGTGGATATCATTCCCAAACATTGGCTTCCATAAGAAAAACAGAGAATTTCTTGCCCAGCTCAAATACTAGCAGCTTCTAAATAAGGATTCCACCATTTAATGAGTGAGTTAATTACAGTAGTCAATTAAACCAGGTCAACAAAGAGTGTATATTCGCGTTTTGAATTGGCAATAATTCAGATAACATGAAAATGAATGTTCTTGCATGACTGTGTCCATGTGCTCATAAAAAAAAGTAAAGTTATCCCTGTTCCAGGCCGTGAATGCCCATAGGGTTGTGAGACATTGAGGGTCCCACATTAGCTAGACAATCAGCTCAAAAATGGCGTTAAGGTTGTCAGCCTTAGGCGCCGGCCACGCTTTACTCCCTAGGAAAATTATTTAATTAATTCCTGGTAGTCATTTCTGTTAGAGGCTGAGTCAACCCCAGGGCCATAGTGCGGCCAGAAGGATTAGGTAAATTGAAAAAAATCCAATGACCTCATCGGGACTTAAAATCATAACTTTTCTCAAGGAAGACAGGTCCTACAAAAGACAGTTCTTAATGGAAAATAACATCTCTACTGCCCATGTAACTGGGATTCTTATCCTGCACACCTTCATCCTACTTTCTCTGCAAAAGACAAGAGAAGGCTCTGGGGATCCTAAATGTCAATGGTTCATTTAACGATGCTGTCAGTAGCCAAGATATGCCGTAGATTAGTGAGTAACGAATTAGCAGAGAATATGGAAGGATTTGATTATGTCCTGATAGGAGTTACTCCCAGAATCCACCTTGAGGAAAACTATGAAAGAGCCTAAGTCAGGTTCTGGCTGTGACTCAAACTGGCACCTCGTGAATACAAGTCAGAAGTGTAAACACTTCAGCTAACTTTCTCAGTGCCAACCACCATGAATTTAGAACATCTTAATCTAGAAAAGAATGTAGCAGCAATTACAAAGCTGGATTCATCATTATGCAATGGACAAGTTTTATCAAGGTGAGCAAGTTAACTGGTACAGAAAATAGTACAGTGTCATTTGTGAAATGCTGGAACGCCTCAGAATTTTGAAAGGAGGTCAAGGTGTTTCGATGTGATATGAGAACAAGGATCCATAATACCTGATGGTCATGAAGATAAAGATGTGGAGCAAGGGAAAATATTGACATAATTATGTTACAAATAAACAATTCTAACTAATAAAGAGCCACACACTATTTTGAAAACATGACGGTAAATCAAGTGGTCAAAAAATAATCCATCTCTTATGGAATTCTTAAGGTTCATTACCATGCTAACAACAACTGGATAACTGGATCCTATCCTGAGCCAATACAATCCACTCCATAATCCCACACTATTTCTTTCCAATTAATTTTAATATTATTCTCCCACCTAGTCCAAGGTCTTCTTGAGTGGTCTGTTCCTTTCAGGTTTTCGGAGAAAACTTCTGTATATATTTCTCAGCACCCTCATTCATATTACAAGTCCAACCTATCTGATTTTTCCATTTCATCATGATGATAATACCTGGGCAAGGGTACAACTTACAAAGCTCCCCATTTTGAAATTTTCTCCATCCTCCTAATACTTCTTCTCTCTTAGCTCAAAATACTGTTCTCAGCACCTTGTTCTCAAACATAATCTCTGTCATTCCCTTCTGAGGACAAAATACATTTTAAGCCCCCACTCCCCAAAACAAAAACATGTAAAATTACAGTGTTTTACACAATAAAATATCTAATGTGGATTATTCTTAGCTTCTGTAAAAATTTATTTCTGAGCTTATTACAGACATGTACTAGTAAAGAAATCAAAGACTATTATCATCTGGGATGCGATGCCACATAGTCTGACAGTCCACAGACATTTCAGAGAAATGTTCTGACCCAAACTTCAGGGTCTGAAGTATGCACAGCAAGAAGACACGTGAGTGTTTGGCTTACTATTTTACCCTGAAGATGGAAGCAGTATATTCCCTTGAAATGTCTGTAAGCTTCCACCAGACTACATGGCAACACGTCTCACAAGGCAGTAGCTTTCATAGTGACCACAGCATTAACCTCAAGTGAGTAACGTGCTAGTATTTTCTTAATCTTCAATGTAGACATACTAACTGACTGAACTTTTGAGATTTCTGCATAAAAATTAATAACTGGCAAAATGGGCAGAATACGATTAATCCTAAAGATGTACACGTATGGATGTATTCACAAGTTACATCTTTCAAAAAAGCCAATATCTTTCACAGATTTTTTACAGAATACATCATGAGAAGGGAGTGAATCAAAGTACTGTACTTCTCAATAATAGCTCATTTTGACAGATGAACTGTGAGCATCACATTCTAGTCAAAGGTAAATGAACGGTCCTGCTCAAATTGCTGGTGCCATGTCACCAAACTTGCTTATGCTGACAATTAGTGTTCCTCCCAAAAATTCTGCGGCCAGTAGGGCAACAGGGACACAAGCTACTTGGGTCATTTCACACGGCACAAATTCACTTGTGAAATGGCTGCCAAACCAATAACCTACATACATTAAAATTTCCCTTCAACAGCGCCAAAATAAATCCCCCGAACAGTTATGATGATGCGAACTGATGCATAATGTGCTAACCCACGCATAAATCCCAAACATTATGCCGCTACTATTGCATTTCATCTGTGCTATAAGGACCAAGTCATGTTATTTCATATGCTGAAATTCCAAGTCTGAGTTAATGCACACTGCAGCAATGAGTGTTCATGTATAATACCTATGTGAAAAGTGGTTGTGTAAGAAAAGTATTGAGAAATTCCAGTGTAAACTTCAGGATGGTATAGTTATAAATAGAGAAAACATTAACTAAAGTGCAAATAAATTAAGACAGATAAGGTCATTACTAGGCAAAGGAGGATCAAAACACGAAGTCCACACCAAAAAGAAACCGGATTAAATTGGTGCTAGGCTTGGATATTTTCCTTGAAAATACCTCAGACTCCTTACACAGGAGACTGGTATTTCAAAAACATCAGTACCAAGTGCCATAAAATTCTTGAAATTGAATACAAAACAACATTTTGCAGAGCTACTAAGAAAGTGGGAAGACTAGAAGAAAGCACTTCCAACATCTGCTATGATGTGTATAAGCTACTGGCCTAGGGAGTCCAAATGTGCACAGCATGAGATGACGTGAACAGCCTGTCTCTCTAGCCTGACAGACCAAGTGATTTTTGTGAGGCTCTCAGGCGACTTCCCTGTACTAGAGAATGGCCATCAAAGATGAAAAGCAAAATTGTTTCTCTCTTCCTTTCTTTCATCCCTTACATAACTTTATCTTCTTCCCTCCTATCTCTCTTATTGCCTTCCCATCTTTGTCTATATATCACCGTTCCTCTCCCTTTTTCTTCCTTCCTCTCCTTCATTTTGAAACAGTTACTTTACCCCTGCTCTTTCATTTTTCTATACCTTCACTCCTTGGCTGCTTTATCCCACATTCCTTTCCTATTCCTTTTATTTATCCACCTCAAAATAATTGCTCTTCCTGTATTACAGCAACAGTGTGCTGGGATTAGCCCAAGTGTTAGTTGGACGTTTTGAAAATAAATGAAATAATTTCTTACACAAAGTATTTTCTTTTATATTTTTGCTCCTAGTTGCAGAAGCACTGACTAGATTTATAACAAACTCTGAGCAGGTCTGCACAAGAGCATCAAGATGTTGATGCTTAACTCATAAAACACATCATTTGCTCCTTTTGCACACTGTTATATAATCTAGCAGGTAGCCAAGTTGCAGGGGCTTCAATATATGTAGAATCAAATGATGAGTACAAGGTGGAGGTCAAGATTCAAGGCAAACAGATGATTACAATAAAATTGGCTGGAAATACTATACAGCAAGATTACTAGACCTACACATTTAACGGTTCCCTGGAACTGTGACCAAAAGGCTCTCTTGCAAAAGCGACTTCACAGGTTTCAGCGCATAATCTAAATATGTCTGCATTGCTTCAATCACTTATATGTAGCCACGAATATCTGGCATGGTTTGATGGGACTATCAGCAGAAAATATTATGTGGGATGATAACCAGCTAACCAACTCCATGGGGCTCGGTCAGCAAATATTATGTGGAATAGTGTATATATATGTGAGTTTTCGTTTTTCTTATTAAACACAACAAAAACAATATATTCTGGATAATTTCTCATCCTTATTTTAAATAGGGTCATGTTGGACTTGTTATTGTTTGTGCTTACATTTCAGTTTTTTTGGGTATTATCATGATTCAGAAATGTTGTGTATATGATGTAACTGTCTTCTGTTATGTTATTTATAATGCTGATATTTGGTGTTGGGTTGTAGTTAGGTATGCTGAGTATGATATTGGGTATGTAGTCTTTATTCAAGCTTACTCTGTTACTGTTAGTCTGCTTATGTCGGCTTTCATCTGCTTTAGTCGCTTGTTTTTGTTGTATTTGACAGCAAAAATGAAAACTCACATATATACAGTACCAACACACAACAGGATGAATTCCTTAAAGATTATGGGGAATGATAACCAACTAACTCCATGAAGCTGGTTCCTTGAAAAGCCACCAGCTGCTCACCTACTCAAGAATTTTCCAACATTTTACGGAACTTGCGGGTTCATTATCATGTTTGCAAGAGCCGTTTACTGGTCCCTATCTTGAGTCAGATAAATCCTGTCCATACCACCTCATCCTGTGTGTCTATGATCCATTTTAATATTACTCTTCCACTTACATCTAAGTCTTGTTAGTGGTCTCTTTCCTTCTGACTCTCCCACCAAAATCCTATACGCATTCCTCTTCTTCCCCCATGCATGCTACATGCCCTTCCCATCTCATCCTCCTCGACTTCATCGTTCTAATTATATCTGGTGAAGAGTGTAACTTATGAAGCTCCTGATTACGCAGTTGTCTCCAACCTCCTACCATTTCACCTCTCTTTGGTCCTAATATTCCCCTCAGCATCCTGTTCTCAGATACCTTCAGTCAATGTCAGAGACAAAGTTTCACACACATACAAAACTACAGGAAAAGATGGTTTTGTATATTTTAATTCTGACATTTTTTGACAACAGATGAGAAGACGAGAGGTGTCGTGTAAAACATACTTTTAAAATGATTAACATTTTGTAAAGTGTGTGCCGAAATCCTTACCTTCTTCGAGACTGGCTATTACTGCTTTTACTATATGCTGAATCAGAGATCTTTGTGTTGTGGGTGGCAGTTTCTTCCATGGTCGACCTTCAAACAAGAAACGATTTTTTTAAGATTACAGTTCATTAAAAGATTAAAACAGAAATGCAAATAAATTTTAATTCTTAAAAGGTAAATTTCTTTCTCAACTATTAAAAAGGCAAGAAGTTACTGAGATTAGAACATCCTTACAACTTTCTGCTGGGGCTCTCTCATTCTTACCACTTGTCTATAAGTTTAATGCTCCTTCCATCTGTAAAACAATAAGTCCCCTAAAGGTAAAGTTGTCCCTGTGCTTAACTAATTAAGCATTACACTTTAGCACCAGGGAAAGAACCCTCAGTACCCACTGGCTATGAGGCTGGGTGGACCCCAGAGCCAGTCTGGATGATGCAGAGAGAGAAAAGACTTGCCACTACCAGGGCTTGAATGCAGACCCCTTAGTTGTCCAGCCCATAGCCAGTCGCTATAATGACTACGCTATCCCAGCTCATAATAAGTCTCCTAATAATGAACAGAATAAATAGTTATCATTAACTTTGCTTTCAAGGTGGGGCAAAGTACATTTTGAAAATGATGTAACAAGGTTTCATTGTTCAAAGCCTGCATGACACAATAATGAATAAAGCCGAATAATTTACAAGGACTTATTATCAAACATCATTTCAGGATCATAAATTAAGTGGGGCTAGTGCTAGTTTTTACAAGAATACTAGAAATTATGGCATTCCTAGGAGGGCATTAGAAATCATGTGACAAAAATGGGGCACCAACTTGACTGATATCACAAAAAGGGAACTCGTGGCAGAATTTAATGGTTTGGAGAACAAGCAACATTCTTAAAAGAGAAGGGATCAGTAATACAAAATGGATTCAAACACATTATAACTATATATCTATTTAAACAAAATAATAAGATAATTCCCAGTAAAACAGTACATTACTATAATATCATAATACTGCACACACATTAGCCATGATACCTCAACCAGTATAGCAACTGGGTTATAGGCTGGGTGAAAGAAGAGTTAGGGTTGGATTCCTGACAGATTTTCCTCCTCTCCCAACATTCAGAAGGGCACTGATGTCCACCCAGCCTCCTATACAATTAGTACCAATGTATATTTTCCTGGATATAAGGTGGCATGTGAAAATGACCACTCCCCTCCATCTAGTGCTACAGTTTAGAACTGTGGAGCTATACTTCCAAGCCCCCATACATTTTCATACCGTGGTACTTAATTAATTACTCTGAGAGATAACTTTTCCTTTACCTTAGGTGCGCACCAACCTCACAAGTTTGCACGTCTGCCATGTTGTTACTCCTATCTAGAAAATTAAAAGTATGAAGTTGGAGCAGCCCTCAACAGTCAAATCCTGTTTCATGGAAATGGGCCATGTGGTTCGAAAGTTGAAATTGGAGGACAGTTGGACAAGCAATCATAGCACAGTGATCTCATAAGCCTGCTTTTCCCTTTCCTTCAGGTAGGACACAGGATTAAAAAAAATTGTAAATATTTTCATAAAATTTCAAAGTGCAATTCATATGACAACACTGAGTGAAACAAATGTTTTCTGAGAGGCCCATGAGAACTACATATTTCATAAGGAATCAGATCAAAGAACTACACCCAAAGCACATATTGTGTCCACAAAGTACAAATGTCCTTACCTGGTTGCTGTGGGTACAATCACTGCAACAAATGTGGTGCCTCAGTAAGACAAACCCTTCCTCTAGTCGAAGCAGAGGCCCCATTTCCACACACAAACACTGTCTTGGAACGAACATAAATTTGGTCATGGGTCCGAAAGGAGACTGTGGCCAAGAACGACTGTGCTGGCGAGGACCAGCAGCAATTTACTGGGTCCGCACCTGGACCAAACTATGCGCGAATTACCCGAAACCTAAAACCAACTGTTGAATGTGTAATGGCACAACTCCTAGAGTAGTGACATACAAAAACATGGTTATGAGTACCGCAGGACCCAGAACCAAGAATGACACTATGGTAACAGAGACCAGCGCCAATTTACCCGACCCAGTGTAACTGTTGTGCACACTACGTGCAAGAGTGGGGCAAACGTGTTATTTGTATTAGGCCTGAGGGACCTGGCTCATCTAGACTTATCAAAATCCGTTCAACAGCAACCATACTTTAACGGGCTGAAATCAGAATCCAACCATTTAACCAGATGTCTCCACACTCTCATCCACCCTGAACAGCTACCTCATATTTAACTTGGCGAATACACAAACCGTTCCTCGCAGGAGATATAATGCCACTATAATTCATTCCTTTTCTTATAAAGCTTCACCTATACTAGGAAATTCTGCAGCCATTAACAACAACAGGTTGCTGGCTGCTTTCAGATGACGCCCTCGGTTGCGCTCGGCTGTTGCCGGGAACGGATATCAAACGCTTCTGCCCCGAATAGTGCGGCACAAAGAAATATAGTCATGTTTTGCCGTTTGGCCAAGATTGATGAGTGATTTGAAAAACGTTAATATGTGGCGCATAAAGAAGGTTCGGAGATTATGTGCACTGAATGACAGCGTCACTAAGATGAAGAGTCAACTCAAGCTTTGCTCATTTCCGAAGGTCACTTGGCAATATGATGTTAGTTCGGCTTCGTGCCGAGTGAACCGAATGCAACCGGACCACCCCACACTCCTCACCCTTACACAGTTTTTGTTTGTTTTTTTTTTTCAGATTAGATCTTACCCAAGCTTCAAGACAACAGGAACAGTCTATAATCACGCTGATAAATAATTGAGGAAGGCTAACGACTTACCAGACATTTTACACAAAAAACTATAAAAAAAAAAACTAGCTTATGGACAATTACTTGAAGGAGACAGCATATCAGTGGGCAAGACACTGAACCCCCCTTACTTGGGTGAAATTATGTGCAGAATACACTGTAGTCTTGTAAGTTTTGAGGTTTTCACGGCGATGACTATGAAGAAACCCAGAAGACCACTTTCTACACTGTAGTCTTGTTTGGCCGGCGACGTGGGATATGTTTGCTTGATTGTTGTCGCTCTGTTACGGTACATTTGGAGCCCACCAAGTTTCCGACTTACCAATATATTTATTAATGTCTGTTTCTAATAAATCTTTTCCAATTTCAGTACCGGCTTTTATTACGGTAGATGGAGGAAGAAAATTGTATGGAAGTGACGAAGGAAACGAAAAGAGTGCGTGAGGCATGAAGAAACGAAACCAATTACTTTCTCCGAGCGATTAAGCCTATGCATTCTGTAATTATTTCACAGTTTATCGCAACCTATCAACACACCGAGAAGGTAATGGGAGTTAGACCGAAGGAGGTACCTCTGAGCAATTTTTTTTGGAAGAAATGTGTAGAACTGCGTAAGAGTCTCCGCTAATATTCAGATATCTGTGTTTAAAGCAATGTAAAACTCACACTTAAAAGATCTAGCAACTTCAGAATCTTTGATTTTCATTCATTACAATTGAAAGCAAAAGATAAAGACGGTAAGCATAAAGAACCAGCACGAACGCACAATGATTTCATTTCCATAACAAGTGGTGAAACATTATAATCTGACAGGGGTGATGAGTCTGACAGCAATTTATTTACAGTTTTTGTTCCAAGTTATTTCCCCGACAGTCTCCTAAATTATGATAATGAGGCTACACATATACAAATGTAAAATATTTAGATTACCATTACACATTTATGTGGTATGAATTCGTTGATATCTCTAAATTCTAACCGCATGCACCCAAAATCCAAACACAAACTAGTGACTCGTGAGTACAGCTCAAAAACGATCAGCTGATAATCCAAGATGGACATGTTGTCCTTACATGGATGATATCATGACAAAACAGTCGAGCTATAATTCCACCGCTGTGTAGCGGAAGATAAAAAAAACTCCGTGGCTTGAGTCGGCAAGCGAACTATACCGACCTAGCGACCGCTGCTTGCGGGCGAAGTTAGTTCCAACTTTAGCGGATATAAAGTGTCGCGTGGTCAGCGCAACGAATTCCAACTGCCATTAATTTCGGTTTTCTAGATCGAAGCAGCTACTTCCTTGAAACAGCTCCTCAGTAATCCTCACGAAGCTGAGTGGACCTCGTTCCAGACACACTACTTCTCAGAAAATGTGGTAAAGCCGGGAATCGAACCCGGGACCTTTGGATCTGTAGCCAGGAACTCTGACCACTAGACCACAGAGGCAGACACACAACATCCTAAAAACATATCACAAGCTATTCATTCTGATTCTTACCTACACGTATCTGCTGTAATTATTCCAATTCTGATGTTCAATTGTAGGGAACCTCTCCTGATTTTGCATTACTACGGATAAATAAACCGATCAAACAGCCGAGCCGAGCATGTACTGTCCTCGCTCGCTCTGAAGCCGAGATCGTGGGTTGGAATCCCACACAAGGAATGATGTTTGGTATGTGTTCGTGTTGTCCTGTGTTTAGGTAGAGACCTTGCGACGAGCTGATCACTCGTCCAAGGAGTCCTACCGTCTGTAAAATGATCATGAAACTGAAAATCAGAGGCCAGGGCCCAAGGGGGCTGTAGAAAGTTACTCACGCTCGTACACACAACTTCAAAGATCATAGGTTTATAACGATAACTCCTGTATCCAAAGAAACAGTTAACATACACAGGGGGGGGCATATGAAGCACAGCATTCAATGCACAAGACGGGTAATTCCGCAACAGTCATGGAATTTCGCAATGTCATTAGGGTAATTCCATGACAGGCTCATTTAAGTCCAAATAAGCAGACTTAAATGCAATTTTAAGTCACTCAAATATGGAGCTTTCAAGTCCATTATTTGAGAACTTTTACACTCTTTAATTGGATTCTCAATCACATCTAAAACACACGAAGTCGGGTATTATACTACATTAGCAAAAGATTCCTCTCGTTGATATATTGGGATTTTGGACTTTATCCATCGTCCTGGTTTTTAAGATAACAAATAAAAACACGACGTTTCGGAAACTGGATTTGTTTCCGTCCTCAGGTGAAGGAAAACACCTATTCTGGACGATTGAGTCCAGTGATNTTCGAGATAAATTACGTATACAATACCCTTTTCAAAAATTCTTAAATCAAAGGTTCTTCTTTCCGAATGTTGGGGGAACGGGTGCAATCTTTTATTTCCTTGAAGCCACCAGTTCTCTAAAAGCCGCACGTCATTTTTAAACCAGTTTATCTTGCCCCTCGCGTTGTGGCAATCTGCATAACATGCAAAAATACATCGTCTAAACCCACCCTCGTTAGGGTGGTTGAGTTTTCAAGCAAGATTCTTAGCATTTTAGGCTGGATGATACTTTCAGAGGCTGCAAAATGCAACTGCAAACAAATGTTACTGCAAAGTGTTGAGTATTAAATTAGTTACTGTTGATTTTTGGCTAGACGAGTTGCGTGCCTGCCTCGCGCGGGGCCCCCTAAGCCGCTGGGCTCTAGGCCACGGAGCAACAAAAACAATTAGCATTCCGCTCCCTGTATTTCTTGGTTCTAATAAATAACTAAGCGTCTAACACACATCCACACCTCGCGACATTTTTCACTGACCTGGAACCCCGCAATCTTTTAAACGACCTCAGCTCTCTCGCATTTATTGTATGCACTTAGGAATGCAAAATGGGTTATGTTAGTAAAAATTCCATGTGGGCTAATTAAATGAATTGTGCCAAATACATTTACCATGACACTTTAAGAACGTGTAAGAAACAGGATCATTGCCCACAACTATTTTATAACTGGCGAATTTCCGCTTGTCGCGCAAAAGTAACGACCATATATATACGCCCAGGAGGTGTTGCCCTCTTAAGACAACACGTCATTTATTTTTTGCACTGCTCTAAACGTACGGTAAAATATGACAAGAAAAGTCATTGAGTTTCCCTTGTTTGTACAGAGTTCATACATATTAATACACTACTATATATTATTAAGAGCCTGGATAGCGTTGTCGGTATAAAGACTAGCTACGGGATGGACGACCAAGGGATCGGAATTCGAGTCCCGGTAGGGTGAAGAATTTTCTCTTTCCTAAGTCGTCCAGACCTCCTCTGGGGCTCACCCAACCTGCTATCCAACAGGTACAGGGGGCTCTTTCCCCGAGGGTAAAGCAGCCAGGGAGTGAAGCTGACCACGCACCTCCAACTAGTGCTGAGGTCAAGAAAACATGGGTCTATACATCCACTCCCGCATAAGCCTTCATGGTGTATTGCTTAATTAGTTAAGCACATGGACATCTTTACCTTACTGTATATAATTAACGTACCCGGGTATAAATCACAAATATATATATATACACACACACACACTTGACATTAACATATAACAGGTTGGTGTTAGGGGTTCTTTAGTGTTAAGCGCAGCCTTGCCCTTAAGGGTTGTACTCCTGCAGCACTCATTAATCACTCACGTATCTAAATACGAATTGCTGTAGATACGATTTACACTGGAATATATGTGTCACGGCGTAGTAATTAACACTGACATACCTCAGTATATTACTAACGTAATAATCAGGAAACAAAATATGTGCATTATTTACGTGAAATTTGATTCTTTCACAGTTTTCGCTTATAATAATGTAAAACATCGAAACAGGCAGAATTATCATCACGGACCAGAAACTATTACCTCGTTTCGAAGCAACAACGGGTTGGCTCATTGGTCTCTTGATTTCTAGACCTTCAACACTACATAAAAGCTTTCGTCGTACTGATTATTTTATACATCACGCGTTCGTTGCTAACTTCATGATCATTATTTGAGGCCAAATTAGGTCGAGGCATTGCATGCACCATTCACAAAATAGTATTAGAACTCACCGAAATAACACTGTCATAAACTTGATTGATCAGTAGCTTGTTAATTATGAACAACTTATAACCAATATACACGCTACAGTAGCTCTTAAACTGAAAACGTTTTCATACTTCCAGCCTTTCAACGCTCTCTACAGACTAACACCGATGCCTTTGCAATCATCTGATCCATCTGGTCACGTATCAGTACACGTGAGTGGCGCGAACATGACGAACGCTCGCACTGCTTTCCACAGGCATGCGCAGAAATAAAATCGTCCCGTGTGAAAAACAACAATCGACATGGAAGAGGAACAAATGAACTGTTGTATGATTTGCTAAAATGAAATGAGGTAAAAATGACTATAAAAGTAAATATATGTGTAGCGGTATGATATTATATTCTGGGATTAATATAGAATATTCGTTTTGCTGTGTCCGTTGGAACTGAAAGGCACATTTTTCGCTGCGTGACTTCGACCGGCACGTTGCAAGTGAGTTTGGAATGTCGTCCCGGAGAACTGCTTGGAATGTAGTCCCGGAGAACTTTGTCCATACCTATCTAGGACGGCCTTCGACCTTTGCGAACCTTAAAGCATGCATATTACAAACATTCCATAATAAATTTATGCTATGAATCGCCAGTAATAAGTACTTTTGCTGCGACTTACCCTTAAATT